GTGAGTAAGTAAGTAAGTAAGTAAGTAAGTGCATAAGTAAGTGCATAAGTAAGCATGTAAGTAAGTATGTAAGTAAGTGCATAAGTAAGTAAGTAAGTAAGTAAACGTCTCAGATTTACAATCTACATAACGGGAATTCAAATCCATCAAAGAGCACCAGTTTCCTTAAAATTACAAGCATATCTTGGTGTAAAGGTGACAATTATCGTAAAAATTACGTTCAGACGTTCATATTGACTACACTCGATCACCTAATAGTTAATTGAGAATACACGTTTTTTTAAACCTTTTTATGTCAGTACAAGTATACTACATAACTCAGTATTATTTTTTTTACTTACTCTTGCTTACCCCAATGGTGCATCGGTCGCTGACCAGCATTCTCCAGTCTACTCTATCTTGGGCCTTCCTTTCTAGTTCCACCCAACAACTATTGATTCTTCTCATGTTTGCCTCCATTTCTCGGTGAAATGTGTTACTTGGCCTTCCTATTTTATGTTGTTCTTGAAGATTCTAAGTGAGGGCTTGTCATGTGACGTAGTTGGGTGCTTTCTACAATTCTTGTCCTATCCACCCCTAGCGTTTCTTCCGGATTTCTTTCTCCGCAGGAATCTGATTTGTTGTCTCACACAGTAGGTTGTTGTTGATAGTGTCTGGCTAGCGAATCCAAAGTATTTTGCGTAGAAAACTGTTAATGAACACTTGTACATTCTGGATAATGGCTTTCATGGTTCTCCAAGTTTCCGTTCCTAAATCAGTAATACGTACGTAGTGTATTTACTATACGTGGTTGATAAACTAAAGACTTTAATTTAAATAAGTTTGATAAAACGTTTAATTCATTTGATGGCTGGATCAGTAGCACTAATAAGAATGTCCACTCCATTTTATTTTATAAGAAACTACCCCCTGTTCATTGTCATAAAATATCTTCACTTAAATTACTGTATATAGGTATTTGTCAACAACACTAGTCTAACTGGGATAACATTCGAATATAGAACATAGGCAATACTTGATATCATCGAGCTAAACTTAAAACTACAGATACAATAACAGGACAAGTTCAACAAAATCCTTTGCAACCCAGTTAAACTAACCAGAGGAGAAAGTCTATAGACAGAAGGAAGAATATATGAATCACAAGCAGCTCGGAACGAACGAACAAATGGATAACAAGCACCTGAGTCAATCGTACTATATAAAATACGAAAACTTGTCCTTGGAAGAGTCATAAAATAGCATACGAATAGAGAGAGAAAATGAACTAATCAGGTCTAAGGTCCTTCTAGATGGGAGGAAATACAAAATGATGGCAATAATGGAGTAATCGAGCATCAACCAACAACAACAGGCTAACTGATATTGATTGATAAATTATATTAAATTAAACTGTACTCTGGTAGTGACAATTTTATTTGTTCATAACGATAACAGTTAGAGTTATGGAGGTCAGTAAAATCACCAATCAATCATTGCTAGATCACCATTAGAAGAAACCTGAAAGCACTGGACAGCTGTCGCGAGAAATTCCTAGATTGATCAGAGTTAGGCGATAACACCGTCTGATGCCGGCCCGGTGGTTCAGAGGTTAGGCATTCGTGTGCAAGTCCGTAGGTCCTGAATATGAATACTGCAAGTAGCAGGAGTCGTCGATGCACATTGCCATTCATGAGTCCCAAGACATACATTCTATCAAAATTTAGAAATACATTTATCCTTAGTTGTTTACCACTTACTTTAAAATAACTGACAAACGAAATTTAGAGCAAACATTATCCATTCGAAAACCAGTGGATGAAATTTCCTAGTATAGTAATGAATATTTTTCCGAAATAAACGGAGCTTATCTGTAGGAGTGCATAAGGAAAATAGGAAGGCTAAGGAACACGTTTTTCGGAAAAATGGAGACAGCCATGAGAAGTATGAACAACAATTAGACAAAACTAAAAATGGAAGGCCCAAGACAGAGTAGGTTTGAGAATACTGGTCGGCGTTCTATGCTTTATTGGGAGTAACTAGCGTTAGTAAGTTAGCAAGCAAGTAAAGTAAGTAAGTAAGTAGATAGGCAAGCAAGTAAGTAAGTAAGTAGGTTGGTAGGTAGGTAGGTAGGTACGTAAGCAAACTAAGCAGTGAATAAGTAAGTAAGTTAGTAAGCAGTGAATAAGTAAGTCAGTAGTTAGGTAAATAGGTAAGTAGGTAGGTAGGTAGGTAAGTAAGTAAGTAAAGTAAGTAGTTAGGTAAGTGAGCAAGTAAGCAAGTAAGTAAGTAAGTGAGCTGGGCCTTTTGGTTGTGGAACTTTCATTGTTCTTCTGAACAACATCATCAGCACAAAATTCAGGTAGAAGTGCTGCTAACTAAGTACTTATTTAATACCAAGGTGTACTGAGCGCTTGTTATGTCATAGGTTAGGAATCCTCTACAATAGAGCAACTCAGTTGGATACGTTTGATTTGTTTAAGTCCTTCAATTAACGTTTTCAATAGATAGCACAGTTCGATCAGTAACAATATGTCTCTATATATATATATATATATATATATATATATATATATATATATATATATATATATATATATATATATATATGGGGGCTTATTGATTCTTAGTTTTTCGTTCTCCCACGTACGCTTATGTATTCGTACTCACTTTGTTTGCCTGCGGCTTCATGGTCTACGCTATATGACAATAAATTTATACACCGTTAAGAGTTATTTCATAACGATTATCAGAGTGAATCATCCATGTAACATAAAAGTTATCTCGAAGACGATCGATCCACTACAACAGTACGTAACCTCTTATTATCCTAGACACTTAGAACAACAGCATTATCTTTAAAACTCTTGATGACTAGTTGAATTAAAAAACTCGAATTTTTATGGATTCTAAGTCATACTGGTCCAATGTCACGACATACACGTTGAAGTCTAACATTCCACAGTCCTATTCTATTTGTGATTGTAAATTCTCTGTCGAAGAGTTCATTGCAACCGAAGAATACATCATCATCATCAACAACAGCAACGTAGAACTTCGTACGTACATACATCTGGCCAAGCTGCCGTACAACATTAACACACACAGATCGAATTATCATTTGGGATCCCTTGGTAGTAGAGGTACTAGAAGTATTAGTAGTAATCGGAGAGATTAGAGCTTGAAGATATTATTCAAAAAGTATAATTCAGTGAGGTAAATTTAGAGAGAGAAAGGGTTAGGAATTGAGAGAACACAAAGAGTGGATGCATCTGCGCCATTGCAAACGATTTTGAGTCATGTCATTCAGGGTCTCTAACCAACCAAACCAGGTAGTCGACACCTATCGACATAACTCAGTCCATTTGTCAGTGACTTCATCGATTTCTGCCATGTTTTTGGTTTGACCAGCCCTACCCTTCGTCCAACCTATTCCTACACCACAAAACATAGAAACCTGAATCTAATTTAAAAAAATCTTTAATTTATCAACAACAATTTAACTCTTGCTTAAATTTTTTTATCTTATTCAATATTCAACATTCTTCTCAAACACACACATAAACGCACACATATATGAGCTAAGCAAAACAGAAAAATCAATCAGCTTACTTTAATTATTCTATCTATCTATATTCATGCAACAGTCACACACACACACACAGCATACATCATTTAAACAGGCCGATTCAACTGAGATCAGACTATTTATGGTTTTATTTTCTAACCAAATAAGGTCATCCTGTTATTACATTACATTACATAACATCTCATACAACGGTTAAATGATCAATTTTGATTGATTGAATTCTGTTAATAATTATGCTAAGAACTCATTATCATCATCAGCATTATTATTATACCGGAAAAAACAATTTCTTTGGCGCGCGCGCGCGCAAATCAAATTTCTAGAGTTCTAATTTTTTAAACTGATAAATGTTTTTGTTTAAAATCATACTTAACAATCTCAATACTTTGTGAAATTCATACAGATTGCAAGAGTATTCACGATTAGGAAGATTTCATGCTTAATGAGTAACTAATATTCGTGTTCTAATTACTACAAGTTTACAAACCATAATAGTACTTGTACTATCCATACTGTGGTGCGCGCTACTTATAAGTAGTATATGACGTGAGTGTAAACGTAATGTCTGGCAGCAGAAGATGGGGGAGGATCAAGAAATGAAGAGTGGGAACACAATGGAATTTGTATGAAACGCATGAATAAGTGAAATGTCAGACAATGGATTTGTGATGGATTGAAGATTCGCAAATTAACCGTTTACGATATTGCTTTCCTATTTTACTGAGTAACTCGGTAATTTGCGATAAATTCAATTCGGTTGTCCTCACCTGTGTTCTCCTTCAATACACTGGTACTGTAAACTTTACTAATAATAGTAATGATAAGATTACTATCGCTATTATTACTACTGGTAGTACTGTGAAGAGTTGACTATCTAATTTTCAACAAAGATAACAGTTTGCAATCAAGGCAGACAAGTTCAGTCAAAAAATAGGTAACTAATCAGTGACTAGTTCTATGAGTTCTCCAAACTATTCATATTAATCATAATGACAAAGTCGACAATTTTTTTTCAAAGTTCTACGATTAAATGAAGTTAGTTATCCCAACGTACGCCGCACACACACATAAACTCGCACAAACTATTCCTTCAATCTCGTTAAAGCCAAAGCACAGAAAAAAAAACCTAAGTCCAAACCAATCAATCAGAGAATAAAACACAACACACATATCATTGTATTTTGATAAACTGAAATATATATATCTTGATTTTTTATTTTTAAAATCATACATAATATGGTGGTACTCATTATAAACAAAAAACGATTGTTTTAAACAAATGCTTTCATTGTTCAATGTTCAATTTTCGTTATTTTTCTTTTTTTTGTACATTGAATATTGAAAATAAACTATTATCAGCATTTAAAATGCGATTGAATGTTTGGATTCTTTGTTTTCTTTTTCTTCTGCAGTTATAATCTTTGTAAACATTTCAATGATTCATTGATGAAGATAAAATTGTCACTGGGATATTTGAATGATGTAATATATAAGAACTAACACTTCCAGTGATTGCACGTTTAATAAAGTTTAAACTACGTTTAAACATAATAATATTATCAATTTGTTGTTCATTAATAATTTTAACAATAGCTGGACCTGGTTTTGTATCGATTTGTATCATTGCTTCAGATTTGATCCCATGTGAATTGGCTTCATGTACTAGTTCATGACATAATGATCTAGCTCTAGTCATATTTTTCTCTGATACATAATAATTACTATTGTTTGGTGTTGATTCATATTGACTTGATAGTCCTGACAATGCACTTGGTAGATTAGGTTCCAAGATATGTAGGAAAATGATCAAATCACCAGGGAGTTTTAAATTATTCACATACCATTGTATTGCTTTATGGGCTTCATTACTTTGACAAACTGGTATTAATATTTTTCTCAAAATAATTTTATTGTCTTCTTGTGATGAAATGAGTCCAGGCATGATGAATGGTTAAACAATGAAATAGTTTGAGCCTATTCCCGTCTCGCTCTTTTTTGTTGCAATCGATTTGAGTGTGTGGTTTTTCTGTTGATTGTATTGGTGTTTAAATAATTACAAATGGTCTCATTTGATTGGTTCACATGATTAGGATGTTTTGATTGGTCAGAATAAAATGCACCACTCAATAGAGTTGATCAATTAGAAATGTGCATTGATGATAATTACTCTTGTACCTCAATCACTTATAAAAAAACCATTGATTGAGGTGTAGTCTGTGTGCACTTTTACGTTGAGTCCATAGGGCTTATCCCAAGCCATTGGACAATTTAATGAGTCCAGTGTTCCCGAGTTATTTTACTCACTTGCTGTTCGACGTTGTCTGTCGTCTGCTCATATCTTAGTTGTTTTTGCTTGAGTATGTGTGTGTGTACCGCCTACTACGCTTATCACATGTCTGGCTTCTTTATCTCTGACTTTCTATACTGAGTCATGCTTTATCGCAGGGAATTGGCTCGCCTGCCTTCTCCTCTATTGCGCTTCGTTGTGTAGTGAACGAGAACACAGGTGGGGCAACCAGACTGTATGTGACGCAAATTAGAGAGTTACTCAGTAAAATCGGAAAATCATATCGTAAATCGTTAATTTGCAAAATATCAATCCATCATATCGAACTGGACAGTTCCTGTTGCAAACATCAATCCATTGTCACTATTCATGCGTTTCATACAAATTCCATTGTGTTCTTCTAACTCTTCCTTTCTTGATCTTCCCCCATCTTCTGCTGCCAGACATTACGTTGACACTCACGTCATATACTACTTATAAGTAGCGTGCACCACAGTTGTGGTTGTATGCTTTTCGTTCTCAAATCTTTCAGTATGAACGATTGTCTGAAATAAGCTCATTCAACTGAATACGTATTAGCTTTCTAACTACCTCTGTCGCACAAACGGGGTTTGCCTAAGTATGATATACAGAAACTGAAAGGGAAGATTTATTTCACAGCCAACTCGAAGGTCATAAAGAAAGGAGTCACCTCCGCGGCAAAGTAATCATTGTTAAGTCAGTTGATTAATAGAGGAACATATATTCATGAGATATCAGACTTAGAATTAATCAACCTCCAACCATAGGTTCTTTATGATTGTTGTTGTTTTCTGAACTGAACTTATACAGTCACACTCAACAATTATTTCTTTACAAAGTATGATCTTGTATATGAAGCTACTAAGTTACAATAGTAAACATTTTGTTCTTAAGGTTGCATGTAACAGTTACAGTCAGTGTGTTATGTAATAGGTGAATTAATCAAACATGTTATGAAGATTGTTTAATTTTATTCGAAATCATAAATCAATCATTGTGAGACTATATCATTAGTAACTTGTAAGCGACCGTGGATCAGTTTGTGAGTATTATTTACTTACTTTCGCCTGTTACCCGCAATCGAGCATAGGCCGCCGACCAGTTTTCTCCAACCAACTCTGTCCTGGGCTTCCCTCTCCAGTTCTGTCCAATGTTTGTTCATTCCTCTCATATATTTCTCTATTTCTCGGCGTAATTTGTTCCTTGGCCTTCCTCTTTTCCTTTCACCTTGAGGGTTCCATATGAGGGCTTGTCTTGTGACGCAGTTAGGTGCTTTTCACAGTGTGTGTCCTATCCACCTCCACCACTTCTTCCTGATTTCCTCATCCACTGGAATCTGGTTTGTTCTTTCCCACAGTTCGTTGTTGCTGATCATGTCTGGCGAACGAATCCGAAGTATTTTGCGTAGACAACTGTTAATAAACACTTGTATCTTCTGGATGATGCCTTTCGTAGTTCTCCAAGTTTCCGCTGCATACAGTAGAACTGTTTTGACATTTGTATTGAAAATCCTGATTTTGGTTTTGGTTGAAAGTTGTTGGTTTGTGAATATATTAGAGTATAAGAGATTGATGAAAATATTATTAGCAAAGATGAATGGTGATTAGTACTAGGATCTAGAAATTGCGTTTCATTCTGTTTTTCAGGCTTGTCAGCCAAATTTTAGAGTTTATGTTCTCTACGAGACTTAACCTAACTGCTTTCTTATATGCTTCTTTCATATTTCATGAGTTCATTGATAAAACTTTTAATATTTTTTTTTGTGTTGGAGAGGTTGTAAACTATTTCTGTAAATAAAATTCCCCCGATTGCTTGACTGTTACATTTTATAACGAGTAACAGTTGTCTATGCAAAATACTTAGGATTCGCTGGTCAGACACCATTTGTAACAACCGACTGCGCGAGAGAACAAACCGAATTCCGATGAATGAATAAGTCATGAAGGAGCACTCGAAGTGGATAGGATACACATATAGGAAAGCACTCAACTGGGTCACAAGACAAGCCCTCATCTGGAATACTCAAAGTGAAAGGATAAGAAGAAGATCAGAAAATACATTACACTGAGAAATGGAGACAGACATGAAGGAATGAATGACAGTTGGGTAGAACTAGAATGGAAGGCTGTGGACACAGTAGGATGGAGAATGCTGGTCAGCGGCCTATGCTCCATTGGCGGTAACTGCCGTCATTCTACCAGTGAATACAAAAGTTTGACAGACCTAAATATAATCCAACGAACTTATAACTTAGAAAAAAAAATAGTTCTCCTTACATTACATACAAACAGTTATGGTTTTCCTGTTTATCAGTAGTATCATGATGAATTCTGTAGAAATTATTCCCTTTGACAGAACTATTCATTCTAAACTCAGATGGAATGAAGGCCAAGACATTAAAAGATATTCGAGATAATTTTTATTGATATCTATAAATTAAATTTAATCCATGTGGAGCTCCACTGGTGCTAATCCCAGTCTCAAGCCTAGATTAAGGAAGAGGGTTGGGCATGGATCCTAGCGACCCCATCCAGTAGAAAACTAACTCACTAAAAAACGCCACACAGAAAAAATTATCCAAGTAATTAATTAACTTTGTATGAAGGCTACTTAATTACTTGCTTAAGCCTGTTACCCTTGAAGAAGTATAGGCCACCGACCAGTATTCTCTAACCTACTCTATCCCCAGCCTTTCTTTCCAGTTCTATCGAATTCCGTTCCATTCTTTTCATTTCGACTTCCTATTCTCGGTATAATGTGTTCTTTGATCTTCCTCTTTTCATTGTCTTATGACACAGTTGAGCACTTTCCTCAGTGAGTCCCACCCTTCCTCCAGCACTATTTCCGAATTTATTCCTCAGGTTTGCTCACTCCAACAGTTGGATGTTGCTGATAGTGTCTGGCCAACGAATCCTTAATATTTTGTATAGACAACTGTTGATAAACACTTGTATTTTGTGGATAATGGCTTTCATAGTTTTCCAAGTTTCCCTCTCCATAATATGCGCAATCAATTATCAATTAATCAACTGCCTAAACGTAAATAATACAAGTTTTCAACTTTAATCAATTCCTAACATAACTCAAAGACTATATGAATAACATCAGTGATATATTAGTATCATTTCTAATCTGGTTAATTCTACAAACTAATTACATCTCAATAAAGTTATAAAACTTAGTCATACATAAGTAAATAATTAGTGTTTGTTTGAATTAGGCAATTATTTAAAACAAAGAATAATAACTGGACAGCCATTTTGTCTTTGTCAAGGATTTACAAATATTGAACATTCACAATCTTAATAACAACAATTGAACGCTGAAACTTTCCACAATTAACATTGAATATTGAATGAACTCGAGACTACTAATTTCACATTCAATAGTTTACATTTTTTAAATTTAATCGATCGATCGATCGATGAATGACTAAGTTCCATTGGATTAATTCTATTGGATAATAAATTTTCATTTAGTAATTTGATGATTATCTCTTGAATTTTGGCACTAGTAGTTCATATAATTAATGCTTTAATTAAATAAAGTAGTTTTGTTTTAAAAAATGGTATTCAGAAGTTAAGAAATAATATTCAATGATATTACCTCATGAATCCGGTAATTGAGGATATGAGATACAATACTCCAACTGTAAGAGCTGATATTATTTATTATTATCCAGCTGTTCAAATCTAATTTCATTGAAAGTGTAATATGAAACGATTTCAGTGGAGAAAGAAATCAGGAATAAACTCTGTATGTGGATAGGACACATGATGAGAAAAGTGTCGAACTGCTTCACAAAACAAGCCCTCACATAGAATCCTCAAGTAGTAGATCAAAGAACACACTACATTGAGAATCGGAAGCAGACATGAGAATAATGAACAACTATTGGATAGAACTAGAAAGGAAAGTTGACGACAGAGTTGTTGGAAAATGCTAATCGGCGGCCTATGTTCCATGTGGGGTAACAGGCGAAAGTAAGTAAGTAAGTAAGTAAGTGCAGAAGTAAGTAAGTAAGAAAATGAGTGAGTAAGTAAGTAAGTAAGTAAGTAAGTAAGTAAGTTAGTGCATAAGTAAGTGCCTAAGTAAGTAAGTAAGTAAGTAAGTAAGTAAGTAAGTGCATAAGTGCACAAGTAAGTAATTAAGTAAGTAAGTAAGTGCAGAAGTAAGTAAGTAAGTAAGTAAGTGCAGAAGTAAGTAAGCAAGTAAGTAAGAAAATGAGTGAGTAAGTAAGTAAGTTAGTGCATAAGTAAGTGCCTAAGTAAGTAAGTAAGTAAGTAAGTAAGTAAGTAAGTGCATAAGTAAGTAATTAAGTAAGTAAGTAAGTAAGTAACTAGTATCAAAAGCTAACTAAATTCAAAAGCCTGAACCGTTACATTACAACTATCAAAGTTAAACGTATCTTGTTGGTTAGTGGAATTGAAAGTTTTGAGTATGATTCTGTGTAGGTTTCGGTAAACCTGGAGTTATCAAATTTCTTAAAAGTTTTCTAGCTACTGTCAAAACAATGATGAAACTGACTTACTTACTCAAGCCTGTTATCGCCAGTGGAGCATAGAACACGGACTAACATTCTCCAACCTACATTGTCTTGGGAATTAACTTCCAGTTCTACCGAAACTTTGTTC